TCAGGATTTTATTTGCTTTGATCGCAAGTATGCGCAGTAATAATGTTTCACCATATTTATCTACTTCTAACTTAAAAAAAAATAAAATACAGAAAATTATGATTGATAGCAAAGTGCAAAAAGAAACAGAAACAACATCAGAAAGAGGATAATGTCAATATTGGTAAATTACTCAAAAAATTCCTTATACCCTCCTAATACTTCTTATGTTGGATCAGGAGGGGGAAAAGGACAAAAGTCTTACACTTCATGCACTGTGGGTTTATTTTTCTGCAAAGTTTTAGTGGATTATTCTCTTTTTGGCTTGTGTCATGTGTCCGCAGTGGACATAACATAATACAATAAAAGGAAGAAGGAGGTAAATACATGTTTATATTAGCAGAATAAACTGAACCATGAGAATAAACGTGGCAAAGTCTGTCGAAAAACACATGGAAAAAAAACAGGAGAATGGCCCAGAAATCACAGAATGACTCATACAGGGAGGTCGTACCATTATTTAAAAGACTTTTTAAAGGCAGGCACAAAAAGAATACTTTGGGAAATCAAAAGATGAATTCAAAAAGTTTATTTGCTCTGCAGGCAACTTTATAATTCCCTTCATAATTTTCTTGTAAAATGTTATACATACAAAAAAAATGTTTTTGTATGTAGCTTAATAAAGATTATAGTATAAAACTATTTCTGAACTTCAGAATTTGATATGAAACATATCTGCTTTTGAATAAGTTGTAAAGATCATGCTCACAGAATCCAAGCAGAGCTGAGCTGCAGAGAAAACCTCTATCAACCATTCAGAAACCTATTTACTTTCCATGTGAGCACTCATGTTTGACGAAGATTTCGTGGAGCTTTTGCCACATATCAATGCATCCACCTCTCAAGTGCTGCAGGGTCTCCTTAGGATGTAAATCTAGCCTTGCTTTTGCAGTTTGCTGTGGCTTTGAAGCACACAAAAAAGAGAAAAGACTTGTCTGTTATCTGCCTGTGGGTTTTAAAAGTAAAATAATGTATATTCTACTAATTAATGGATAATTATTGCAGCCAATAGCGTTGTATGATGTAATGACAACTAAAGATCAACTATAGGATTTAAAATTTGATTTATGTAATGCAAATTTAGGTAATGATAAAGAGGCTACGTTCAAGCTTTTAATTCTCTGTGTTTTTTAATTTTTTTTTATTCACAACCTTTATAGGCTGAGTGTGAGGGCATATATAAAAAATAAACACACAACACTTTATCACTTCGTGAAAGAAAACCACGATAATCCACTTTGAGTGGTTACATTTCAGTATTATTTCACCTTAAAGAGTTGCAGATTGTATGCATCATTTAATTTTACAATACCTTTGATGGCTCAGCAACCATCTGGACAGTTTATCTAGGTCTCATTGTCACCAAACAGCTTAGAGATCTTGAAGTGGTGCTGCTTGTATGGCACGCCATGCTATCAGTACTGCTCTTGTGTGTGCTGTTTATATTAGCCTGTAAGTTCTTAGATTGTTAGTCTTCATTATAAGGTCTGCTTTGTTACACAGCTCACTGTAAATACCCTGCTCTGTTCTACAGCCATCAGTCTCTCAGTCATTACATTACAGCAGAGCCATCTAGTGGCTGCATTTTGCATTTTTAAACAATGAAGAGACCTGCTCCCAAATACAGAAAATCCTTGAAAGAGATCCAAGGCTGTCGAGGACAAAGCAGAGGATTAGCAGTGTATAGTTCCTTATTAGGAGTCAGTTACCTCCTCCCACTTAATATTTGGGCTATTTAAAATTCAGCTTAAATAGTTTACTGTTTATTTTGGAGTACCTGATAAAACAGCAAAAAATGTAAAAAATAAATAAAAAATTAAAAGGAGAGAAAAAAATACAACTGTATTTTGTATAAAAATGCAAAAAGACACTGAAAAAGTATTTGAAACAAAATTCTTTGAAAACATCGGCTGATCTGATATAGTTTTGCATGTGTTTGTGTGTGAAAGAGGTGATAATTATATATTTATCACCCGTACCACAGTGCTGGAGAACATATAAAAGAGTAGCAATGACAATAATCAATAATTACCCAATGAGTAAATATTTAGGTGAAAATCTACATAGCTTGTCTCCCTTATTTATCTTAAAATGGGCAACTTCTAAAACGTGTGTAATTATCCTTTAAACACCCAATAAGGCCAAATGAAGAAGGTAGAAATAAAGAAAATATTGTCAAATTTTAAATAGCTATGAACAGACACAGGGTTAGGGTTAGGGTTAGACTGCAGAAGAGGATTAGAGCCAATGGAAAAAGAAAAGTTAACTGATTTTTAGATTTTATTTCAGTATATTATGAGAAAAAAAGTCAGAATTCTGACTTTTTTTTTTAAATTCTGACAGCTAACAAACATGTTAACATCAAACCATAGCCACGTCTGTTTTAGAGACTAGATCTCTTATTTTAATCACCTTCTGCTCTTCCATTAATGAAACAGCATCACTAGGGACCTCTCGGGCAGTCATTTTCCACCAAAGTGTCACTGGCCCTTCCAAACAACTCACATCTTTATCAGTGAAGCTGAGTGCTCCCACATCTCTTCCTTCATGGTGCCCATCTCCATTAAGATCCAGAATTCTGAGATTTAAGTCAGAATTCTGAGATTATAGTCTGACTATATTCTGACTTTTTCCCCATGTTAAACTGAAAAACAATCTAAAAATCAGTTAACTTTTATTTTTTCAGTTGCACTAATCCTCATCTGTAAGATACAAATAAATAGACAAATAAATAAATAAAAATGCCTAAAATATTAGCTTAAGCAGAAATGTGCAGCATATTCACTGACTATGTTTCATATTTGTCTATGTGTTACAAACTGGAACCCCAAGATTGTGCTGAAAACTTTTGTCTAATTTAGTAGAGAGCCCCAGAGACCGACAGGGGAACTAATAATCAACTCAATAGAACACTGAGCAAAGACCCTGTTTGTAAGAACCCCCTTCTAAAAGAAACACCAAATTGAAAATTTTAACATATTGTCTAATGTTTGGTTAACTTAACTTTATTTTCTAAAAATGCAGTAAAGATATATATAAAAAAAAAAAAAAACTATTTTGAAAAATCTGTAACCAAAATAATTTAGTATACTCTGTAGACAGTACTCTGCCCTGCCTTAATTAAAAATTTTCCTGGTTAAAAAAAAAACAAACAAAGTCTGATATGATAAGTTTAAAATGTTATCTTTGTTAAAGCTAGAATCTTAATTTCCTGTTTTTACAAGCAGAAAAATCTCACATTGTGTTTTGAAGAATATTAAATGAAAATTTTGAAATACTTTTGATTTCCTATGAAATGGAAAGCCTCTAATCTGATGCCAGCTTCTAGTCTGACCCCTGCTTCAGTAATAAGGGCATTGTTCAAATTTGAAGTAACCAGATTTTGATTCCAGTTCCTCCGTTAGATTCTCGTTACTGATGATTCTTGTCCTTTTTTCTCTTTTATTAGGAAGAGTAAAAAAAGCTTGTATGTTTTAACTGAGCTAGCTAACCAAAGCTCTGCCCACAGGAAATAGTCTGTGGCTGTATCCTGATGTCTGCCCTAACCCCATTGAGGGGTTAGGGGTTAGGGCGCTATATAGAGTGGGGACTACATAGCTGACTTTTTGGTAAACTCAGTTAACTGATTGGTCGGACAGATGAACACTACGTTTCACTCCCTGGTGGTCATGTGACTCTGGTTGCTCGCATGGTCCCTGCACCATCTTTGTTCTCTCTCGCCCCCAAAATCCCCAGACGCTTTGTGAGGAGAGCTCTTGCAAAGCATTCTGTGATATATCTACTGGTTAGCTGAAAAGTGATGCAAACTACTTTTTAAGGTGCATCATGTGAAATTTTGTGTCTTGTACTTTTTCATCCACGAAACATTCAGACGCTTATATGAAATGCCGTTATACCTATATAGTGCTCTATGTAGGGGTTAGGGTGGATGTTGGGACCTTTTAGTATTTTTTTTATTAACTTTAGTATACATTTCAAAAATGTCTATTTTCAACCAGCATGTAAATATCAAACTTATATAATTACATATAAGTTTTCTTAATATCATTTGACGTGGTGGCTTTCAATGTTGTGAGTAAATGTGTTTCAAAATAAAGGCATTTGTGTCGGCGGTAATATTGCCATAACAAAATAGGTTAACCTAACTAATTACTTTTCTCCATTGAATTACTTAGACTATAAGGCAGTACTTTACTGCATTCGATAAATTAATGCCACTTCATAGCACACTATGCTGCAGGAGAGACCTGATTTCTCTTCTAGCACAAATGGAAAACATTCCGTTCCTAAACTGGATGCATAATAGCCAGTATTTTATATTTGCTGAAGTCAGGCTAAATATTCCTGTGATTTTCAGATTGTTTCATGAACAAATAATAAATCCACCTAAGTGACAACAGCTCTAATCTTTATGATACCTTGAATTGTTTCATCCTGTCACAGCACTGACTTAAGTGTCTGTTTTCCAATACAATGCATTTCATTTGTTCAGCGTTGTGCTGAAATTCCTTGAAGAGGAAACTTATTGTTGCACAGAAATACTGAAGTTACATCCAGCATGGCTGTTTTGTGGAATGCTGCGACTACTTAATTCATTTACAAGGTATATCTTGGTTTTTTGTGCTAGTTGTAGTCTGTTTAAACCACCATTCTGTACTTCATGATAATCACTTGATGTACAAGTGATTATCCCACCTCCTGAAAGAATGGCACCATTGGTAATAAAGCATAATGCCTGTATCCAGAACCGGCAAATTACTAACGAGCTGCTTAAATAAAGCTTGTTTTAAATAAGCCTTTAAAGCAAATTAATGTAACATATGTGTATCTAAAAATGGACTAATTCACCATCTGCCAAGGCTTAAGTTCACTTTAATGTCTGTATTTATTATCATGAATATTAAGAACTGATAAAAAAGGTACAAAAAACAATGAGTGTTTTATAAAAACTCTGCAGACAATATCATTTCATGATTTATTGACATTTACTTTTTCACAATGGTTTTGCTTGATATCAATATTTTCCATAAAGTTTTTTTTTTTTATTTAAATTACATTTATGTTTTTTTCACATACACATTTATTGTTTCATTTTCTTATTGCAATAAACAAGAGTAGCCAGAATGAGTCAGGTATTGCTACAGTTTGCCATACAAACTCTTTATCCCTCTGATAATGAAGTTCAAAAATAATTTTATTGGCAAGACAAAATTACACCAAAGCCTCTCGGTCCCTCTCTTTCACTGTTTCTGCCCCGAGAGAGACTGAGGGCAGAATAAGGCTAAGGCTAAGAGCCTAAACACAGCTAATATAATGTCCAGAAAATGTGAATCAGATATTTATTTCCCATATGTGGATAATGAGGATGAATTAATGGCTGTTTTCACTTTGTGAACACATCTAGGACAATTTGAACATTTCAATCATGCTACTAGAATGACTGACCTAGCAGGGATACTAACACTTTGATAAGGCTGAGTTATTGATCAGCTCAATGATAGAATCCTTCCTAATTCACCAGTCTTCTTAAGCCAAACAGGAATTTTTGTCTCCATTACTGGACAAAGTCAGGCCACGTTTTAGCTCCAGGTCACCTCTCTCTGCTACCAGTGGAAGGTAAGAAGTGAGCAGCTTCCATCACAAACTAGAATATATGTGGTACACACACCAAGAGGAAGGCAATCACAAATCCTGGAACAGCATCTCACTCACAAAATGAACAAGAAGATAACTTTCCACAACAAAAAGAGCACAATGGTGGAAGCTGACACAGAGTCAGTTTCTTCTTTAAGTAATGGCATTGATAATGTCTCTCCTGGTTTTCACTTGGACAGATCACTCACAAGAAAAAAAAAGGAAAAAACAAATTAATCTCAGGAAATCCAAATAAAAAAAGACAGCTTTTTGAAAATATCATCAATCTGTACTCCTTTGATGCATGTTGGTTTACCCTGTTCTCCAAACAGAGATTCCCATAGTTTAAAGGCCCTTTAATATGAAGAGCCGGTTCCTTTGCCGAGCTCTGCATCTGCGTTTTGCTTCACCTCCCTCATTACCCTTAAAGGCCCAAACTCCCCACGGAAGATAAAGGAAAAATCTGTCAGCCAGCATGCTACCTCTTTAAGCAACTCCAGACAAAAATGTCACAATGAAGTCACTTTGATAAAAGTTGCTCATTGCATTGCAATATTCAGACAGACGTAAGACGTTAGAGCTCATTGTTTCTCAATGAAAGGGCACAGTGTAATTTTCATTTAAAAAAAGGGATTTTAGTGACAAGCTTTGTAGCAAAAAGGTCTTCTTTATTCTGCTTAACCAGCTTATATTGGTTTGTCATGCTTGTTTCGTTTTCTGCATTCCAGTCAGAGCTCTGACCTTGAAATAATGCAATAGCAAAGTTTAGCCTAAAGGTTAAAGGTCAGGAACTACTGGGATGTGCTAGATTAACTGTACTGTAGCATCTTTGATTCATCAAATTTTGTAAGAGAATGAATCTTTCCAGCAGAGCACGGTGATAACCCATGTTTCAAGTCTCAAAAGGATTTTGAGTGACAACAAATGCAGCTGCTACTGCACCATTCAGATTAAAGTTACCAGTTTATGGCATTATGCATTAAAGAACGCTAAAAGGTATGCATAGTTACACTGTAGACTATAGGTTAGTCGGATCTTAAAGTGTGCATCTTTTGTCATGTACTTTTGTCTGTTTTCTATCCATCTGTTAAGATAAATAGAAATGTCATATCTTAAGTTTAATCTTATAAAAACGTATTAAGTATAATTACTTTCTTTCAGGGTTTGCAAGTAGAAGATTTACACCAGATTTACACCCCAACTTTCTTCAAGATGTATTTGAATCACAGCTATATTAGATTTTTAACGTTCCCACAGAGGATATTGCAGATGCATTTGAATTGAAGCCAAATTTCAGCAATAAGGGAAAAACCGAATGGTACCATGCCATGTTGAGATAGATCAGTCATAATTAAGAGAAAACTGTTAGTTGTAAGTCAGAAATTCCAACTTATAAGTGAAAAACCAAAGGCCTAAGGCTGACAGAATTGCAACCTCTTTCTTCAATTTCTGTCATGGATGAATTAATGAACATTTCCTACCTGCAAAAATATTTTTTGTATATTTTGCTCATTTTTTATGTGCAGCATAAACAAAAAGCAACAGTCCAAAACAAGATAAATCAAAGTGCTCACCAGTCTTTGTAAAAGAAAACAAATCATGGTGCGTGTCATGGCTTTCAGTTGTAAGACAGGAAGTATCAATAGTTGCCTTGAGCTTGACGTCTTGGCTTCTGCTCCTGGGCACTTTCTCTTGGCCTCTAGTTCGGTTATCACTCCAGCTCATGGTCGTTTTAAACTTAGGGAGTATGCTTTTCATCTGACTCCCTTCCAGGTTATTGGTGTGTCAGTTCTCAGACGTAACTGGGTTTTTCTTCTTTTTTTTTTCTTTTTTTACCGGAATAATCTAACCTTTGGATATCAGCCAGGCGAGGAGGAGGATGATGCAGACTTGTCAGAGATGAAAAGGGTCAATGCACGGATGCTAACCCTTTTCCATGAGAAGCCTTATTGTAAGGATGCATGCAGGAACAACATAAATACATCAGAACACAGGGTTAGATTGAAGTCATGTCTTCCCACCTACGCAATAATTCAGCCTGAGAAAAAGGAGCATGGCAATGTGTGGATTTTAACTTTCCTGATGGAAAAGAAAATACTAAATATAACCTATGCTCTTTTTAGTTTCATACCACAATAGTGTAGAACATAGTTTCCTTGAACGCAGTACTATCTGTATAAGATTGCCATGTCTTATATACAGCAGTACAGTGCATTCATCTGGCTGTTCCACCTTTCCCTTCTGCCTTTTTTGAGGTCCTTCTCTAACTGCTATGGAAGCTGGCAAACATGCCCTATAGCAGTGTCAGTTGCTGCAATTTATTTTAAAACACAAATTTGTTCTGGCCTGTATGTGTGTGTCTGCATGCATCCTGTATTTAATCCATCCATTGACCCACTCTTACCCTTCTCTCACCTCAACTTCTTGGCAATGAAAGGGGGTAGAAGTGCAATTCTCTACAGTCCCACTTCTGCTCTCTTAACCTTCCCCACCTGACGTGTTTGGTTGCAAGTACCACCTGCCTGTTAGACAAAGTCATGTTTCATCTAGTCAATACCTAGTGTCACAAATGGAAGAGCTGCTGGATGCAGAGCAGGACATGTACAGTATTGAGGAGAGTGCCACAACCATGTGTGGCGGATACAGCAAAGACCAAAGGAAGCAGCTATCCTACTGACATAACATTATTGTCCTGGATTTTGAGGTGCATAGGATGACAAGAAGAAGTCAAACTTTGATAACCGGAGAAACATCCCCCTTTCCCAGATTAATGAACACTATGCATGGTTTGACATTTCTAGAAAGATTTACGCAGTCTGCGTAGTATTTTTTTTTTTCTAAAGTGAGGTGGCCGTCTTTTGGCCACAGTGCAAGGGAAGGAGTAAGGGAAACGGGAAATGTACAAGAGGACAATGCATAATGAATTCTCTCCTTCACTCATTCCTTTTAAAGAGCCATCAGAAGTCCATTGAAAAAGAGGACGAGTGAGAGGAGAGTTTAAGGTAAAGGGAAAGAGACACATACTACTTGTACTCCTTCCGATTGTTCCTTTCCCTTGCTATTCTATCAGATATTTAAACTACTGGATGTTTCCCTCCTTATCGATTGCTTAATTGTTGACCTTTTTACTAGCTTCACAGTGTGCTTTTGGAGAGAATGTTTCTGATTGGATGAAGTCACAGGATGATGTGTCAGTATGGAGAGAAGAGGATTGGCCCATGGGTGGTACGAATGGGCCCAGGAGCAGGTCTCAAGATGGCATGGCTGAGAGGTGGGCCTTGCAAGAGGTGGTGGGGATGTGGGTGAGGGCTGGGAGCAGCTGCCCGCAGAGCCAACTGGTTCGAGGACGCCGCCGCGGCCATAGCTGCTGCAACGGCAAGGGGGTTGGGCAGCAGCCCTGCACCCAAAGCTTTGGTGAGATCCTTGGAGAAGGTCAAAGAAGACTAAAAACAGAAACAGAGGTGAAGGCAAATTAGTGAGTTATTATGTTTGAAAACATTGGTAAGAGAGCCTATGGCATATATAATCTCTGACAGTTAAGGATTACTGCATTTGGAAGGATATCAAACTGAGAACAGTTGATGGACACCTTCAGTGATTGAGTTGTTTTTTTTTTTTTTTTATACACAGTTTTTGCTAAATTATTTTTTTTATCTCCCTTTATATGTTTACCCATCATACTCAATGCACAACAAACACAAAAAGCAAAAAACAATGGGCTAGCAAACAAAAGAATGAAGCTAACACACACAGCACATACAAAGGAAAAAAAAAACACAAAAAGAAATACTACAATCGCAGAAAATGAAAAGAGGAGATGTGCAAAATCATTGCAAGTACACCAATGTGTTGAAAATAGAAAATGTGCTGTAAACACATATGAAGCTAACACACAAACCCACAGAACACATGAAAAGGAAACATTATACAATTGACAAAAACAACTGCTATTTGGGAAAACTACAAACTAGCACAGTGCCCCAGACTGCTAGTGAAGGAGACCTTGCTGAGACTCATGCTGAGACCAGACATTACTACGTATCATTGTCTGATCAGACTTTTGGTAAATACATAAACAACATGCCACCCCCGACGCAGTAGATTTTGTGCAAGGAAAGAAAACGTAAGTTTTTATCAAATACTTTTTAAAAATACAGAATTCCTCTAAGCTTCGCATTTGTGCCTTGATTAAGGGTCTAGCCCAATAGGAGTTGATGGTTGACCCTCCCTAGTACTCTCCAATACTTCTACTATGTGGAACTAGTTTGCAGATTTTCTTAACTTGTAATCGCTTTTGCTACATAAATCATTTTTATGTGTGTTTGTGTGTTAGCATTATCTATGTGTTTGCAGCACAGTTATGTATTTATAATTGTGTTGTTTTTCTGTGATTGCATTTGTCATTTGTATCATTATTCCTTTGCATGTGTTTGTGTGATTAAGTTTTGCATTAACAACTCTACCCTAATTTTTGTGTTTGCATTATTGTTTGGATTTTTAGAATGTTTGCATCTCTAAGCCACCATACTGTTTCAAAAATTCCAACAAAGTTAAACTAGAAACAATCATATCTTCTGGAATGCTATTTCACTATTAAGGAAGGGAAAATTTAGCTTTGGTTTTATCACAATATTTTGAGGTATTTGTTCAAAATGATCAACAATAAAGAAGACAATAAAATGTGTACATATTTTCCTAAAAGTAACAGCTATAGAAACAACAATTCCACTTCAAAATTAAACTATACTAACCCATTTTCACTTTCATTTTACTGCTGATATTACTGCAACTATACCTCTAAAAGGCATGGAATAACTATATCTATTTGGACAACATTTTTATATCTTGACTTATTTTGATGCTTTCAGGGAACCACTATTGGCAAAAATGTTTTAACAAATTAGTGACTGTATACAATAATGCATTTATTCAGTTTTTAAAGTTTTAAAGTGTTATTTATTATAGTCTTTAAGGTAATAAATCACCATATATATATCACAATAATCCCATATTTTTGTTTGGCTATTGGTAGTTTAATAAACGCCCATCCCTAATTAGCAGATATTAAATGCTGGTATATTCGTAAAAGAAAACTGATATTGATATAGACATTCTTGGGCTTGCTAAATGTTTAATAGGAGATAGAAATCAAGGGTTACCGTCAGATCCGCCCCCCTGTGCTTCTTATGTCGGCTGAGGAGGGGATTGGGCTTTCCTGCCATGCCATCTCGGTGCCGTCTGCTTGATATGTGCTAAAAATAAATTACGCATGAACACTTAAAAATTTCATTTTTATAGGGTTTGTAATTTGCTGACTTTTCTTGATGAAAAAACATTTACCACTATAGGCTAGGCTTACAAAAAATAGAAGAAAAAAAAGATGCAAAAAGAAAAAAAAAAACACTGGTGTTATATCAAGTCTTTACATTACAAGTTTAAGTATTTTCACTAACTCTAAATTTATCTCTGTATTAAACTCTTGTATTATCACAAGCATGTTGCAACAGTTCTACAGTTTTCCAACTATGGATGAGTTAAGTAATTTACCATTACTGAGGAATTACTCTGGTCACTGAAGGATAAGTGGATAAATTCGTACTGCATGCAAAAAGAAGAATAATCAGAAATGAATAAATCTATCAACTTTTAAAAATGTACTGATAAATGTAATCCCCTAATTTTAGGCTAGGTTGACACCAACTAGTAATAGACCTTGGTTAACAATTTAATAAATATAATAATCTGAAGATAAAAGTTTTACATTTGAATATTAAATAGGTGAGGCAGATTATATCAAATGTATCATCATCACAAAACGTTTATGCATTTTTTTTTATAGGCATAGTATGTGACTAGGACTCTTTATGAATTATGCTAATAGAATATTCATTCAGATGGACATAGTCTAAAGGTAGCAGATGGTCAACCTTGGCATAAATGACATGCCTCAAAGTGCTAAAGGTCAGATTAGGAAGCACAAATGAGAAAGAAATTAAAGTAAAATATAAGCATATAACCACAACTGAATTTCCCTTTGGGATTAATAAAGTATTATTGAATTGAGTTAAAATGAATTGATATCATCAAGTGCAATATACAGTAAGCCATCTTTATCAGGATTTTCTTATAGCTTCCCAATTTAAAATTGAAATTATTTCTGTTTTATAGATGACAAGTATGTAAAGCAACATAACATATTATTCCCTTTTTATAACCTTCCCTTAGTTTGTCATAAGCTAGACCTTGCAGGTGTTTATTCTTCACCAACCTGTTTGAGTTGCAGTTCGGAGTTCACCCGCACATTGCAGATCTCACAGTGGAAGGTTCGTTCCTGAGTGTTGGGGTCTACTGGGCCCCCTCCCTGCTCTCCACCAGGCTTTGGACCCAGGCGGGGGTATGCCTTGATAGGACCAAGCCCGCTTCGGGCCTCCAGGATAGTTTTGTGTTTAGTACCTTCAGATAGACACAGAGAAGCAAAAATAAATACATAAATAAACTAAACCATTGAAAACAGATGGTGCCATTATGACAACCAACCTCCCTCTATGTCATCAATAGACCCAAGTAGAACATGATCTATTATAGATTATGGAGCAGAAATTGTGAAATATGAAAATGTTTAAGCTTGATAATAGAATGTCAACCTCTCAGTTCATTCATCAGTAAAGAAATAACCCATAAAGTGGAGCAGAGATCAGATGGTATACAGTAACATTATAAAAATGTAGAGATACATTTCTACCACAAGATGGCAGTAGGTGTACAACAGCTGTAGGAATGATAACCAGAGAGATAACTCAGAGGTGACCTCATAAAACCTTTAAATTATTATTATAATTATTATTTAATTTTATTTTTTTTGGGAGGGGGAGGGAATACAGTATTCATAGCCACAGATACAGCTTATAATTAAAATGTAGTCTGTTAAAATGAAGTCTGCACCTTTAAATAAGCTATGAAAACAAGATAACATTTTTTAAAAGCACAATTTTGTCAAACATTAATATTTTGACCTTTAAATATTCTTAAATATTTCTGCCAGCTTTCAATGCTACCAAATTATTAAACTGTCTCTAGATGAAAGAGATGTAAGACGTTTAAAAATTCTAACAAAATAATGCATCATTTTATTGTACATTGGCTAAATAAAAAAAACATATAACTGCTGAAGAAAGCCTCCATAATTCCTCACAATTAAATAATAATTTCCAAATAAAAAATGTTTATCTTTTTAATAACTAAAATAATTTTGCAAGTTTTCCCTTAACTTGTGATATGGTTCCAGTTGAAATTTAGACTGCATATAGAAAAATAAAACTTGCTATAGACAAGTAGGTTATATCATTATCAGACATCTGGCTTTGGATCAAGAAGTCCCCTTTTTCCAATCCCTTTATTGCTGCAGTACTAAAAAATGAAATGGATCCCACCTTCATCAGTCTGACTTTGACGCAATCATTTTAGCCACCTTTAAAATGAACAATGCAAAGGTCACCCAAAGAAAAGAGTAACCATGTGAGCGAGTGGGCTGTGTAGAACATAAAGGCATCACCAGGGGGCTTGGCAACTGCACTGATAAGTTTTACTCACAGCCATTTTGGTCTGAAAACTAACATTGGCCCCTAGAACTGTTTGTCTTTGTAAGTTTGACTCATTTTATAGACTAACACACATGTTTATAACACTTACTTAAAAAAAACAAAAAAAACAACAGGAAATGTTTTGAGGAAAACAAAGTCTTTATAGTTAAATACTTTGTAATCCTTGTTGTGTTTTTGATGTGTTTGGCACTTAGTCTTTCTGCTGAGCACTTAATGCATTTACGCGTCTGTCTCTGTGTGACACATGCTTTTATTTTTAAACTGTGAAAATGAAAAAGTGTTTTATTTTAAAATCGAGTGAGGGTAATTATTTCCAGATTGTCCTCTCCCAACTTTCAGCTAGTTTAAATGTTAGATTTCCAGGGCCTGAACTCTCCCAGCAGGCAGAGACCCAACACTATGCAGAGAAGGCAAAAAAAACTAAAATACTATATGATGTTTTGCTTTCATCTTGCATGTTCAATTTTTTTTAGAAACAGTGCATTTTTCTGTCACATGTGGAGATAGGAAAAATTATTTGTTCTATAGATGATAAAAAACAATCTGTCAGAAAGTCGTAAACTGCTAAAAATAAATGAAAGTAAATTGTTCTTTAAAGGTGGCAGTGCTAATGCTTATCCCACATTAGAATGGACTTATTAGATGAGGAAGGTGGGACTAATTTACTTAGGATGGGTAGGATGTAATTACTGTACTTCAGTGATCTGCCAGTCCTTACAGCTCTTAGTATTCTGCCAATATTTAGATCTAAGTACTGATGGCAGCTTGAACTCCTTCCAATTAAGCAATGTTACAAACACACAAACAAGATGTGAATAAAAATTGTTTAGCATAGAAAAAAATCAAAAGTATGTTATTAATTTGTATTAACCCCTCTTGTCTTAATGCTTTGCAAAAGTAACTTTTGTTGTAGGTACCTTTGCAAGTCTTTTCAGATATGCTTAACCAATCTTATTTGAAAAGTAGATCAAGCTCAGTCATGTTAGGCCTATGTGAGAGTCATTTTTTGTGTTACCAGAGATGCTATATTGCATGTAAGCTGGCTGGGACGAAAAGTTCAAGCGGCATAAGTTGCTGTAAAATGTTTTCTTTCTTGCATTTATTTCCTAACTCTGACTACTCTCAAACTCTTTTTTATTAGAGAAGCATCTCTGTGTCATGATGCAATCACTGTTATATTTTAAACGACACATGTGTGTTCAACCACAAGTAGTCCTTTGCCTCTAGGCCATAAAAATTCAGTTTTGCTTTGCTTTGCAAGTGGTGACCTGCAAACACAACTCTTTTGGTTTTCTTTTAACAGGATCTATTTATTCTTGTTTTCTCTCCATTAAAGTCAGATTCCTGAATAGTCCAAATAATAGTTGCCTTGTCTGAAGTTTTTCACGTCAAAATAATTTTCCAATTCTGAATCGATTCTTAAAGCTAATCTATGCAACCGGTGTTGATTTTCCAGCGAGGCTCCCCCCAGAGGGCGAAAGTAAAAGTGCACTGTCGTAAATATGCTCAGCTGTTCTCCTGGTTTCTCCGTCAAGCCAGGCGAGGTTGTTTTGAGCTTAGCAGACAGGCGAACGCAACTAATACTGCGGTAAGTGACAATTTTGTTCTCGCCATTAAGCAAGACCGACTCTCGCGATGTACGAGACTTCTGAGCCTGTGGGTGCGGGCCGAGGGCTCCTGCAATTGCAAGTACGGTATTTCCCCTACAGACCACCAGGGCGGCCGAGAAAACCTTTGTTCGACCTGAAATGACTCATTTAATCATTCAAAACGTTATGGAACACATTAATTAACTGAAAAATGTTGCATAGTATGCCTTTAATTCAATTCTTAAAGATCAGTTCATGTAACATGATTGAATTTTAAAAAATACATTCCCACTGCCCTATCAGTTACCACTGACTACTATTGCTGTTGAATGTTAATATAATACTAGTATAATTATTATGCATACCTACACAAATATATAACTCAATTTAAAGAATGTTTTTGATTGCAGCGCTCCAAGTTGAGATCAGAATGGATCAAAAAGAACTAATTCCATATCTTGAGAATTGGAATTGAATCAAACCTTAACCTCTGAATTGATCCCCAGCCTTACTGGAATATTCTTATTCTGCAGGTTCTTTGACAAGCCTTTAGAATTCTTTACAGATCAGATGGATTTATGAGATTGAATTACACACATAACTGCAGTATTTAATCCCTTTAAATGAAACGGATTGTTCTGAATTATATTTAAAATTTTATATTTTACAATTATATTTTATATTTTCTAATTATATTTTAAAAAGGCAGCGTAAAAGAGGCTGGTTACAAATTACTTCATAAATACATTTCTACACACACACACACAAAAAATATAATTTTCCTTCTACTTGAGAATTCTGCTTTAGTTTGTATTAGTCTATTTCATAATATCTCAATTTAAATAAGCTACTCAAAGAATACAAACTGTTAAAAGTCCCTTACTGTATGTAGACTAGAACCATCTTGAGATCACAATTACAGCTAGACTTACTGTAAGGTAGACTGGAAGGATTAAACTGACCACTTTGGCATCTCAGGGATAATTATAACACTGACAAAGCATCATCATGTTTCAAAGCTGTCTGCTACAATGTTTCCAGCGGTATTGTATATTCCTGCTTACATCCCTCTAGTAGCAGTTACACAACCAAACCATCAACATTAAAAGCTGGACTTGTTAACAAGACTTTTAGAGAGATTATGGGTAAGATAAGAAATTACCAAACAAATCCTGATTCAATTGTTTTTAGGCAAGGAAAAAAACATAGTCTGACAACAAGCTTTGTGCTGTGTATCCACAAAAGTTTTAACTAAGAAAACAGTCCTCAGTTACTCCACTTAGTCGCATCCAATACTCTAAAAATGAGACTGTTATTCAAAGTATTTAGTATATATTCTAAGGTTCGGTCTGTAAGATCTAAACTGAAATCACTGGTGAGGGATCTTTAGCTTGATCAGTCGTGCTTGGTAAATAATAAGTCAGCTCAAAAGTCTTTTTCACAAATCTAAGCAAATAATGAATACTTGATTCTAGTGCTGGGTGACATGCACTTAAAATCTTATCACAATATTGGGTAATATTATTATGATAATGATAGAATCAAAAAATTTGCATTGCTTCTTCATAGTCTTTCTCAGTAAATATGGCTTTTTCAGGAGACTACTTACAATAAGAATCATGATTTTTATAACTGAACATCTCATATTATTTATTTTTAGTAACAATAAAAGGACTGTTGGGTGTCCAAGTGCCTTTCCAAAGCTGTGTTCTCCGTAAAACGTGCAGTGGCAATGGGGACATGGCTTTGCCCTTTTTTGGGGGTTGGCTGGCTGCCATTGCTGTCAGTGGGGATGTATGACCAACATGCTTGGATGCCTCTCAGCTTTTTGTGAGGTCTGTCTGGGTGCATGCCTTTCAGCAATTTGGCCTCCCCTGACTGATGTGGGGCATATACCCGAAGCTGGGTGCATGGTACACCGGGGAGTGTTTCCTGGTCCTCCTCTTGGTGGAACGTGACTAGGACAGGGGCATTTGCAACACCTAAGTTGAATCCTGTTATTGTGAAAGAGAAGCAGCTCCACTCTGAGCATCTCGAGAATGGCTGAGTTCTTTCCCCTATTTCTAAGGGAGTGCCCAATCACCTTGTAAAGACGCCTAGTTCGGCTGATTTTACAGGGTTACATTTTACAGTACTGGCTGCACCAATCTGACAATCGACCCCCTCCACTGTTCTCCCCTCACTTGTGAAGAGGACCCAAATATACTTTTGCTGCTCCACTTGAGGCACAGACTGTCCTCCTACGTGAAGCGATGAAGTCACCTTATTACTGGTCAAGAACCTTGGCCTCAGACTTGGAGGAGCCTATTGTCATCACAGCTCAAAATGAATTACTTAATTTAATTCAAAGTGTTAAATAACTTTTAAATCTGTTTTATAAAGAAACTATACAGCTGTCTTTGGGAATTTATTTTTCTGGTAAAATGGACAAACTGGGTCAAATAATTAATTGACATAAATATTTACCAATGTGGGTTGAGGTGATGAGATTACATGTTGGAAAACTGTAAACTTTGTGAAAAAAGGACCAAAGGGAAAAAAACGAAGTCACACTGGTATAAAGCTCCTTAACATCAAGTAACTTTATCAGATCAGAGTTTAGCTTTTACCTTTGTTGTGGGCCTCCAGCTGTGAGAGTGAATTGACAGCCACCTTGCACAGAGAGCAGTACAGCAGCTTTTTGGCCTTATCCTCCTCCGTCTCTGGGTTGGACGGGCTGCTGGAGGATGGAGTGCCTGCAGTTCCCAAAGCTGTTGGACCAGATCCAGGCTGGTCTGAGCTAGTGCTGCCACAGCTGGGGGAGGAAGAAGTGGGTGGGATAATGGGAAGTGTCTGGTTTGAAAGAAGTGGGCACAGTGACTGCAGGGGTGAATCCATGGGTGGGGTTGGTGGGTTGGGTAGCGAAGAAAGGGCTCCTGGTACCAGAGAAGGCTCGTTTAACTGTGACAAAGGTCTTGTTTCATCTGGGGGAAAAAAAAAAAAAGTAGAATTTACTAAGTTTACATAACTAATAGGAAAACACTTTGAAACAGTAAACAGTTTATACTAAAAGATCCCCCTGATAAAACTTTATCTGATGAATATGGCAGATGTGGTCTGTTTGGTACATCAGACAAACCAACAAAGGTTTTAGCACTCAAAAGTAATTTTTATTTACTCTGCTGTAATTCATAAGGGGTTTGAAAAGACCTTTTAATTAAAATTCTACAGTAAAGGAAAATACCAAACTGCTGTGTGTAAAAGAAGGAACGTGTGTGTAAGTCATCGGAGGGCTTCATCCTTTCTTGATGTGGTCTCAATGTGTTAAAAATTTCCAAGCAGGGAAATAGGAAGTAAACACCACAGTCTGTTTAACTCCCGCAAAAACACCTGTTTTTCTTTTCTTACTATTTTGTTTTTTTTTTTGCTTTGGAAATAAAATGTCATATTCCAATTCATAAAGTCCAAATTATTTTGAAAATTAAATTCTTCATCTATTATTCCGTAACACCACACTTCACCAGACAGGTATTCATAAAAACATAATTGACAGACAGAGGGCTATGTGTGGTTATTGATTCCTAATTATCAGCTGGGACCCAGGTTTGGTTATTTTAATAAAATTTTCCCATATTGTTCAGACTTTCCTTTGGCATTAAGTAACCAAACCAAAGCTACAGAACATCCCTCAGGTTTGATTAGTCTAAGTATATAAGTATCTGAGCCTAAATTAATCCCAGTCGGGCTGAAGGTCTTAAACAATGAAACAACCATCCATCCATTTTCCGTCAAAGGAGAATTTAGAGAAGACAATTAACCTAACAGACATGTTTTTGGACTGTGGGAGGAAGCCAGAAGTATATATATATAAAAAGCTATAAAATGAATCATCTTATTGTTCATATCATTCTATTTTTATTATTTACATCATAACAGTTAATTATCTCATTTTATCAATATCATTAATGTTCTTTTATACGTTAAAACTATTGGAAATGAAATAAGATGAAAGAAAGAAACAAACAAAAGTCAAAAGCGCATCTTTGACTTAAATGCTGCAAATTAACTGGAAATCCACAAAGCCAGGATGTCATAATCTGGTCTTTTTGTAATTTCTTGAAGGTATATTAATCTTAAATATGTATACTAAATGGTTAAAAGGTTAGAAAAACCCTCTTGAAGAAAACCTTGCTTAGGCTGTCAAGGACATTTTAATTTGTATTTCCCTGAGGCTTTGGATACGACATAAACCAGACACCCATTTTTACTTTGCCATCTGGTGTAAAGGAGGTATAAGAAGAGAGGGGTTGAGCATAAAGTAGTAGCCTGAGATCAAAAAGTCTGCATGACTACCATTAGATGCTATCCTGATGGTGACTGCTTGTTTTGACGAAAACCAGTAAGAAGCTTTTTACTGCACTATAAAAGGCAAAATGTCATGACCTGCTGCTCTGGATTTTTAAATCTGTTCATTTTCACTTTGATTTTCTGTTTGGGTTTGATTTATGTTATTTTGTATTTGCTGTTAACAATTATATATTTATCTCAAATTATCTCCAGTCTCTTCCCCTATACTCTAGTTTTTCCCTTTGGTCACTCTTTTTTTTCTAGTCATTGGACTTATTCCTCTTTAGCTTTTTTTAAGTTATTTTCTAGTCTTAGTTTAGCCCTGTTTACTCTTTGTTCCCCTCTCCTTTCACCTTAGTTGCTTCTATCCACACCTGCTCTCAATTAGCTGATTACTCCACTCAATGTTCTGTCTCCCATATATTCTCCTTTGCAGTTCCTCATTGCTGGATTCTCTTCTCTGTCATGTGTTTTTATTCTCCTGAGTGTCTTCCTTCTTTGGGCCCTGAGTTCCCTGCCTCTTATTGATTGAATTTATGCTTCCGTTGTCACCACTCTCATTAATTCTACTGTTGTGTTGGGATCCAGCTACTGCATCCTCCGAAGACCAGATTCGTTGGCCAATTCCATCATAGTAAGGCGCTGTGGCCGTTTCCGATTAGCATCCTTGTTTTTGTCTGTTTTGAAGGACGGGTCCTGTGAACGTAGCCTTTGGTATCCCATGATTCAGTTCGACTCCATGCAAGCCAGCTGCTCCATGCTCAGAGGAAAACGGGAAATAGCGCCCTGAACAGTTGTGAATATTGGAAGTGCAGTTTAATATAATACAGGAATGTGAAAATAGTTTTGTCTGGAATTAATGAAAATAGCTATTTTAAATGGTTATTGAGTCAAATATGTGGCAGATAATGTTTGGTTTATTTAAAGGTTTTATCTGTCCCTGTGTGAATGGTTTGACTGACATTCAAGCACAGATTTCAATATCTGCGTAGTGTGGGGACATCAAATATAGTGGTGAATATCATATAGATATTATATTCATGACAACCGTACTGCTGCTGAAAGTCCTGAACAATGTAATTAGCACACATAGAACAGTAGAGAGAAGTTTTGACATCCATTCTTTGACTGCTTTATGTATCATCTGTAATGATTGCTAGGCAACAGAGCGTATGCTGACTGAGCGGGTATCTATTTTGTCAGATAATTTGTCTCAACTTTGAGCAGAAATGATGATGCTCTGGGCAGGCACAGACTGTTTAAGGTAGGTGCTTCTTGGAGAGGATGGTAGTCCCCACAATTAGTAGATCTGTGATATCACTGGTATACAATGAAAAGGAGGAGTTCATCCTCAGAGAGCAGAATGGGCTATAAGCACAACTTCAATAGTTCTTGAACTTAAGAAAGCTCTTTAGTTTTCTGTCTTTCATTACTGGATGAGGTAATAAATCCAGGTGTGTCTGACCATGGTAACTGAGTTCAGGCACACCTGGATTAATCAGTTCATCCAGTAGAAAAGGACAGAAAACAAATGAGCTGCCTTAAAATCAGGAAATGGTGGAGTTATGCATCGAGCCCCTTCGTGAGGATTACTCAGCTGCCATTAAACAGGCAAAATACTTTTTCAGGTATGCTTTTTATAAAGGAATAAAATATAACTACTCAAAGGCTTAAACAATGATTTAACATGATATAGGCCTTTATATATATATATATATATATATATATATATATATATATATATATATATATATATATATATATATATAAATCATCATAAAATGTATGTATTTCAAATGGAAGATTAGATTGTAGGAAAAGTAGCAATGGAAGATTATATGACTGCAAAAAGTGATTAATCCATTAGTTTGTACATTTTTACCTAGAGCAGCAATGAGCAGAAAGCTGTATGTTCGACACATGTGTTTCTTGTCAGCCACACCCACACTCAAGACCAGCGGTATTCACTAAATAGAGAGCACTGACAAAATACCCCCATTTCTTTGGGTGGGGTATTCATATTTCAGCACAGACTGTGGGGCCCGCTTCCAAACAAAATGTAAGCAACACTAAGAGTTATTTTAAAACCTCCCACACATATAACATGACAGGGATTTTATGCACTATTATTGAAAAGGAAGTATTGTTTGTTCTGAATACCTAATTTACAGCTGTTTTTCCATATTCATTGCAGATTTTCATAGAAATATCACAATGATAGTTCATATATTTATTTCTGCTTGATTTACTGTATACCTCATGGAGTGTTTCGGTTATTGTTCTTCTTTGCACAACCTTTAGTCAAGATCATGTAAGTTTCCTCTTGTCCACCGCTTCACAATATTAAAATTCCTTTGTTGCATACTGGTGTCCAGTTGGCGAACTGCATGTGCATTTGTTCAACATATGTGCGTTCAGATAGAAATACATCTCCCTCTCCATGTGACATCAAAAGTCAATAAGTTCAAAACCGGTCAGGGAAAAAGAGACAAGAAAAATTTGGCAATTAGCAACAAATAATTTTATACTCCAAGTCTGTGTATGCAGACAAACATCTCTGCACTTAGTTTTATCTAATGAAATAATTAAATGTACATTAAAGGTCTTGTATTAGCTATCTACTATAAAATAACTTAATTTTGGGGCTTTTGAAACATTGTGCTATAGTTAAACCAAAAAAAAAATAAATGCATTTCATAAAATCTGAGATATGCACTCTTCCTATCTCATTCAAAGTGAAAACAGTGTAATTATTAACATAAAACCACTAGAAGAGAAAGAATGAATAGTTTATTTTCTTCTTTTACACAATCTCTTCAATAGAGTTAGCTGATTCTCCTACAGCTCTGGTTGTTATTATGTTAGTCTATTTAATCATTTTTAAAGTAACTCCCTCATGACCAAGTAGGAAGTTGCTCTTAATGGGGAGAGGTCACGAGGGAGAGATAACTCAATCCAGATGCTTGGCACTTATTGTGGTGAGCTTTAATCCACTTCGGGAAATTAAAACATTGTACTGGATGGGCTCAGGAGGTAAAGGATTGGTTGACCAAAGCTTTTGAGTTAATTGATTGATTTTCAAACACCAACTTGTTTCTGTCAAAAGAAATTGGGCTTAAGGCTGCACATAGATTACATGTAAGGGTTGTTTAGAACTGTCTCTTAAATACTGTTATATAATAATAATAATAATTTAATGCAGATGTTATATAAACGCCTAAGGTGTCTCTTGTGAACAACCAGCTGTCGATTGTGGAGACATTTAAAGCAGGATTATGTTATGAACACTATCTCCCCAGCTGTCAAAGAGTAATGTTCACTCCTTTTATATGGCTTATCAGCAAACCTACAAAGACGCATTCCATAATATAAACTTGGAGACCAGGCAAGGAGAGCATTAATCAGACAAGCAGTAAAGAGGCTAATGGTAACTGTGATGAAGCTACAGAGATCTACAGCAGGGGTGAGAGACTGTTGAAAAAAGGCAGATATTTTTAATGAACTACACAAATTAGGCTTTTATGAAGTGGCATGAAGAAAGTCATAGAAGGTGCTACGGTATAGCCCCCTCGCATTTTGACAAAAGCCATGTTATGGGAACAAAAAACAAGTGGAAAAACACACTCTGGTCAGATCACATCAAAAGTGGGCTTTTAAACGTTGATGCAAAAAATAATCTATAAATGAACTCACTGGCTTAATCTTGAAAGATAGTGGTGGCAATAATATTGATCTTTTATATAGAACTTGAGTAAAATGCATTAAAGTTTATTAATGCAACATGTGAAAAAATAGGAAGGATTTCAGGTTATGAATACGTATGCAGGGTAAATGAAACCGTCTTGAATGTGGTAGCAGATTCTGTGACTATTGTTAATTATTAAAGATCTAAGAAACTCAAAACTAGACTTTCATCTATAATGCATCTGAGGGAATTTTCCCAGTTTGCTATGAATTTGAATCCTTATTCATACAGAGACATTCAAGTTATGCAAAAAATGTCTATCTTGTTCTTTGAATTTGAACTCTTAGCTAAATTTGACCAAATAAACCCAAACGAAACAAAAACAGAAATGTTCAAGCCATCGACAAACAAAAAGGAAGTCCGTTCTGTGTAATCCAATGCTAGCGTCAGGTCCCTGCTGTGCAACACAACCCCTCACATGAAAGTCCTGTTTCATTGACCTTGGGTGTGTGAATGTGGTGGTTTTAATGTAGCCCTTCATTAAAGTGGGAGTGTCAGAAAGCAGAATAATAAAGAGAAAAAGAAAAAAGAGGGGGAGGGTTGATGGAGGAGAGTTTTTCTCTGGTATAACAGCTGTCACTCTACTTTAGGCCTCACCAAAACCTCTTCTCACTAGTCCTTTAAAGCCAGGGGCCTTTTTGGGGAGGACTACCTCAAACCCTTTGATGACTGTAAAACTCCCTCTGTGAACCGTACAGTTAAGGAGGCAAGAGCATTTAGACTGTAACCCCCTGCAGCTTCAGACCTCATCAAAAATCTCCATATGTGGGCATCACTTCTGACTGCATTCAATGTATTACCAATAAAACGATGGAGGACAGTAAATAAAGGTTGATGCATATATGAAAGTCCAGTCTGCTGTTGTATTATATCTTATTTTCTAAGAATGAAAAGGGATATCATCAAAAAGATCTTTTACAGTACGAAAACAATGTCAAACACAGAGGGGGATAATCAAAGCGCCTCTGTGGGAACATCATTCTTACATCTGAACATTTAGCCTAGGCCTTACCATATTGGTTATCTATGTTTACTCATGTTTATGTACATAAACTCCTGTGACCGACTGAGGAAGGGTTCAGATATCCAAAAGACTGTGTCTGTCCCCATAGGATGTTTTCCCAGTTGAGGAAGTGCACAGCTGCATCGTCCCAGAGATCTGCTCTCCACCACTGAGCTGAGGATCAAATCAAAGACACAGACATACATACAAGCCAGCATGCATACTGCAAAATCAGGAAGACGCAAGGTTCCAGGGTCACGAGAGAAAGGCTTGGATGAAAAACGGCATTCTTTCACATGTTTCTACTTTTGGATCTCCATCATGGCAGGCCTTGTTTCATCCCCTTGTGCACTTGGAGTCTCAGAAAATTGCAGTAATGGGGACTGATTTAGAGGTTGAGTCCCCTGGGAGAAAAAGACTAAAAAAGTTTCTACTTATATGGGACCAGCAAGAATAAAAAGTGTCAAAACAGAGGCAGATAAATGCTAAGGTGTTTGCTCTGACATTCTTGATCAAACACATTTCTTTTTTCTTTACTTAAAATGTTTGCACTGAGGTCCCACATCAAACTTGTGAAAATGTCTTGTAAACAGTCATCTGCAGAAAGCTTTGCAAATGTCACTTAAGCATGGTAAATCTCTTATTTCCTGATCCAAATGAAGCAGCGACACTGGGAGAATGGAAACTCGACGAGACAAAAGAAGAGGGGATCGAAGCAGACAGTACTCAGCTGCTGACAGAGCTTGAAATAATAAGATGAGCCAGGCAAGAAGGGCTCAAGTAAGGCTAAGACAACAGGGACATAGCTAGAATTGTTCTGCTTGGGAATAAGCATACAATGTCCCTTCTAACCATTAATCAACTTGCCAACAGTAAACAGTCCTATTAAATCCAGATCAGCTGCTGCCACTGTCCTTTTTGACTTTATGCTTTCCATATTTAATATTCGGGTCTCATCTTTATTTATAACCAGTCAGTCTTAGCACTTATTACCACGTTGAGAGTAAGCAACATTTTTTTTTAATTCAGCTGCAAATTGTATGGTACCCCCAGAAGGTCATTCTGTTGTGCAATGAATGGCAAAATTGCTTATTTTCAAGTAATACAGAAAATTCAATGTATTTATCAAGATTTTATGTCAAAAGCTGCATAACTATGCAGTGCAAAAACAAGGATACAAAGGTGGGTGAGCATTTTTCGACAGGTCAACTCTGCTCATTTAGAGAGAGAAATTCCTGCCGATTCATAGCCTTACCCCTTTCAAACCGGATAGAGCATCAAGGAATATGAATCTATGTTGTTTCCACAATATCTCAAATTCTGAATTTGGGTGAAAAGTATTTGGTTGACACAGAAAATTAGAAATCTTAAAAATCAAACAAACCTTAATGATTTTAATAATAACTATACATATTTGTATTTGATCTGCTCACCAATAAAATAAGCATTCTAATCTGAGTACATTCAAAAAGGTCTCCAGAATCTGATTAAATTTCTGTATAAGTACCCCGTGGACAAGAACGGGGACAAGAGATTGTTCCAACTATAGGAATATCACACCTGTCAGCCTAACTGGAAAGGCCTAAGCAATGGTAGTGGAGATGAGGGTCTGGCTGATTGTCAAACCTCTGCTTCAGGAAGAGCATTGTGGTGGTTGAGCTATCAGAGGAGTTTTCACCACTAGTCAACATGTATGTGAAAATGTAGGAAGTAGGGCCCTTGCACTTGCACTTTTGTGCCCTTTTGATCAGTGAGGTGGTGTTTACAGTCAAGGTGAGGTTGGATGTGATTTGCTTGGCTTTGGTGCTGCTGACCACCTCAACAGCTGAGCTGTTGATGACCAGTGGAGCGTGGTTAGGTCGGTTCTTCCTGAAGTCAACAATGATCTCCTTCACTTTCTCCACATTCAGGATCAGGCTGTTATCTTTGCACCAGTCCACCTGCTGCTTCACTTCCTTTCTGTAGTCCTGGTCATTCTCATCTCCGATGAAGCCCACTGTGGTGTCATCTGCAAACTTCACAATGTGACTGGAGGTGAACCTGGGGATGCAGTTATGTGTCATCAGAGTGAACAGCAGCGGGCTCAGGATGCAGCCCTGCGCTTAGGGTGATGACATCAGAGGTACTCTGTCCAACCCGGACTAACTGAGGTCTGTTTGTGAGAAAGTCCAACAGCCAAATGCAGAGGGGTGTATTCAAGCCCAGCTGTTCCAGTTTTCCTATCAGATGCTGCTAAATGATGGTGTTGAAAGCTGAACTGAAGTCCAGGAACGGCATTCGCACAAGGGGGTTCTTCTCCTCCAGGTGTGACAGGCTCAGGTGAAGAGTGGAGGAGATGGAGTCCTCAGTGGAGTGGTTCCATCGGTAGGCAAACTGGAACAGGTCGTAACCCGCACGTCGTCATATTGGGAGTCAGTGCAACAGGCCTGTAGTCATTGAGTGAGGCGACCTGAGGCATTTTTAGGACCGGGATGATGGTGGCAGACTGGAAGCATGCTGGCATTATGGATTTGATAACTAGTCTGTGTTTTTTAGAACATAAAAAGCCATTGAAATGCATTGAAGTTTGCAGTTCTGATTCTGAAAAGCTTAAGCAACATGAAATAACTCGTTGGTTTGATTCTGAAACTGAATTTGATTTAATGAAACTGGGATTAGCCTTGAATAGTAAAAGGTTTTTACACATATACCAACCTATTATCAGCAGGATATTTGGTACTCTGCTTCTATAACCTCATCAGAGCACGGAAAGATTTTTCTCTCTGTTTCCTCATAGGATCAGCTACACACTGCAAAACCCCTGTGATCACAGGACTTATTATTCTTGCATAATTCCCATTATATATTCTGGCAAAATGTTAACCCTTTATCATCCTGCATGGATATAAATGATTATATTTATCAAATATAGGGATGCACAGGCATGTTTCTACATCAAGTGGTATTTTCTGCTGTCTCACCTGCTTTGCCAGCGTCACAGTCTTGAGCAGTGCCAGGGGCTCCAGGTGGAGATGGGGGAGAGGTCTGGGATAGAGCATGAGGCTTGTCCCCTTCCTGGGGACGACTCTTGGATGTCTCAATGCCTTTAACTCTTCTGGCATGGCGGTTCCCTTTGTAATGGGCCTCTGCCTGGCTCTGTGAAACAACAAGGATAAGAAATTTGTATGGTGAATGAAGACACCACTGACCACTGGAAGAGAATACATATGATTAGACTCTCTGTCAGACTTTTATGTAAAAAGCTATGAACTTATGCATGTATGTTATTTAATCTACATATATGTCACATGCACAGAAAGGCAGCTTCTAGAGGAGGTGGACCATAAGGAAAAATTGAAAAAAAAAAAAACAATGCAATGGTGCTTTGATGGCATGAAAAGTATTAAGTGTATTTAAAAAAAAATGATAATATTCATCTGGTAATAAGTTCCAATATGTTTTATTCTATATGTTAGCTGTTAAAATGCGGAACCCTCCTATTCAAAAAGCCTTAAGAAAATCAAAGGTAAATTCTGCTCTTAGTTAATAGGTAAATATTGGTACAATACTATTATTGAATTATTAGAAAGTATTCAAGATATTGTGTTGTGGCTGATTTGAATAGCTTTCTAAAATCAGATGTACAAGTTAGAAATAATTGGTACACTCTAGTACTTACCCCTGACAAGTTAGGTTTGATAATTATCTTTATTTGAACACGGTGTATAGATTCTGTTACTTCTGTGAGGATTACATCAAAGAGCAGCACTGATATCACAGACAAACATTTTCTGTCACCACTTAGCAGGGAATGCCTATGGCATGAAACATTCACCTTTTTGCAAATTTTAGGAATAAATAGAGCTTTGAAACAAGAATTGTGTTAATGGAAAGCAGTTTCCCCAAAGAGCTATAGATGCAATATATAAAGACTGCTGCAGTAATTTACAACAGTCTCCAACACACGTGTTGAACAGCTAAAGCAGAGCTGATGTTTTAAAGATAAAAGGATCTGGATCAGTGTCAGGTGCAGACAGACATGGCAAGAAAGATGATGAATTGACATATGATGATAAGATCTGAGCTGGATATGATAAAACAGCCATCATATTGGAATACTGTGCTAAAACCCAGGTTAGTCATTTTATAACTAAATATTTTGTTGAATGACTGATTCTGACAGATCCAGAGAGAATTAATTATGATTTCAACAGGAAGAATGTGTGTCTTTCTGGTGGTCAGAACCAAATTCTAAAACAGAAAATAGGAATGAACAGTGACAAAGATAGCTGGTTCATGAGGAGTTTTGAAGAAGAAATGCAAGTCCTACTAACAGCAATCTTTAGTTTAATCAGTGGGTGAAACAGACTACCCATTTTTGTCAGAATTCTTACGCCATACACTCATAGATAAATTTAAAATGTGCATGGATTAGTTTTCATGCTTGTGTTTTATATATAAAACTTTTCAAACGGGTATTTATTACACGTGTGGACTTTTGGCAGAATCCTGACGCCATATACCCAACCTACATGAACTGTACTATTTTTTTCCCCCCATTGTTTATTTGATATATAGCAACAAGCAGCCAACCTGTCTGGAAGTACTTTGATGTGAGGCTATATTTACAACAATCAGCAGTTATACAAGGTTGCTGGAGATATTTTTCCTGGAACAGGGTCTTTCTGAATGGAGTTTGCATGTTCTCCCTGGGCATGCATAGGTTCTCTCAGGGTACTCTGGCTTCCTCCCACGGTCGAAAAAAAAAAAAAAAAACCCTCTTAAAAACATCACTGTTAGGTTAATGGACTTCTCTAAATTCTTCTTAAGAGCGGATTATACTTCTGCAACCGCACACATCAAATGTCGCTTGCGTTTGGTCGCGAAACAGTTTTGCTGGTATGCTTCTGCAATGTCGGTCTGGAATTTCTAGGGACACACAGCAGTTTCCCGCCAAAGCGCTAGGGGGAGCCTATTCAATAGCTCGCAAGAACTCAGGCGGATGGACACGAGAACTTCTTCAGCAGCGCCGACAGGAGTGTTTATTTTCCAAAACAACATGTCTGAAACATCGTACGAGTGGTTGTACTTCCGAACCTCCTTGTTCAACTTCCATTGTTGTTATTACTCCTCGGTTTTTAAAAATGGCGCACCCCGCCACCGAATCGAGAAGGACGACCACACAGACAGCCGGAAAGGCATACCAAGGACCAACCACAGCTGCTTTTTGTCTGCGCGGGTTTACGACCGCCCGACATTTAGTCAGGATGTTTTTGAGGTGCGCGACAACGGTTGCAGAACCTCTGCATTGGGGCGTGGTCATGTACACAGACAGATTTGACGGTTGCATAGGCTATGCGTCAGAAGTATAAATTGGCCTTTAGGTGTGAGTGTGTGCATGAATGGTTGTTTGTCTCTGTGATGTTCACCGCCTCTCGGCCGTAGACTGCTGGAGATAGACACCTGCGACCCCGCTTGGGTTAAGCGTGAAGAAAAAAATTGAGTTAATCTTAAAAGTTCTTTAACATCAAAAGGTTGAGCTGTTGACTATGTAGCTTGTCAAGGTCCAGAAGATGACTAGTATTTCACAATTGTTTGTAAAGGCGGTCATGATTAGTAGCTGGATTTTGCAAATCTATTATCATAGAAGTGATTGGAATACCTGAAATCAATAATTGGGATTGGGATAGTCCAATAGCTGTGTTCCACATGGATGCAGTTTTACTATCTTTTATGTTAAAGGCTAGAGATATAGATCTCGGTGACAAAGCTCTAAAGGTTTAGAGAGAGCGACGGTAATAATGAAGAAAATCTCCCTGAGCACTGTGGGAAGATAAGAATAAAAATCCTCAACATAGATTAAATAATGATATTTTAATGTACACCTTATATGTAGTACTAAATACCAACTTGAAAAATAGTGACAGAAATAATTTCCAGCAGCTCATCAGGATGATCTCTTGATGACAGACTAGGTTTCTGCTAATGTGTTTGTTTAGGGAGATGATCGTCAGGAGACTACATGGAGATTAGGCCGGTCTGTCTGTAGCCACAGTGTTACTATATAGAGGTATGTGATTCAGGGACAACATAGTGGAAAAGATGAGGTTTATATGCAGAACTGTCTCCTAAAGTCTGAACATACAGTAAAGTGACCGTTAAGCAAACATGCATCACCTCACAGGCACACCACATTATCTAATGCAGTGGCTCCAAACCAATGTGGTCCCTGCATGTTTTAGATGTGTGTCTCTTCCAGCACTCCTGATTCAAATGACTGCATTGACACCTCTGCAGCCACCAAGTGCTGCAGAAGCATGTTAATCATTTATTTATTTAAACCAGGCGTGTGGTAGCAAGAAGACACCTGAAATATAAAGGACAAGGGTATTGGAAGAGCATGTTTTGGACCCATGGCTTCAATTTACAAGTTAAATTAGTTTAAACCTGTTTTACTGTGTATTATATTTATTTTCAATAAAAAGCACAAACAGGCCCCTAGCTGAGATGTTTGGTACTTGTTATGTCAGTTTTGCCTTTTCCTAAACAGGTATAAGGAGAGCAGATTTGCCAGTAAGAAAGTGGTTTCCACCAGTTGATGTTCCCTGAGAGCCAAACAATGGCTGTATTGATTTAGAAAGTTACTTTACTTATAGTTGCCAGGGAGAGGTTTTGTGTTGATAAGCAGCTGTCAGCTGTGATGAGCACTAAAAGGGTTGGACACTGACTGACACTTAGGACATCTCACTAATCACAGGCTCAAGTGTGGAGATAGCCTGGCTTGTGAAAGAAGGCAGGGGGTATGAGTAATGTTACCAAGTCTGGTTGTTTATATTAGCTTTATGTGGGTCTTTTAATGCATCAAATGCTGATGATAAACTTAAAGGGATAGGTCACAATGTTTGAAGTAAGGTTCTATTAAAAGGTAGAGGTCATGTTTACTGTATTCCTTGAGAAGCTAAGAGCACACTTAAAAATGTCAGAACAATTCTTGTAAAAGGTGTTTTTATAAACCATTAAATGATATATCCCTCACAGTGGGTGTTTATTTTCAAAGAAGGGAGACATAGAGTTACAGGGTAATGCACAACCAATGATTTTCTGGGGTAAAACCATCCGTCTTTTCCTGCTTATTCCATCAGGGTCTCAGTGGGACCTGTGCCTATCTCCGTCAGTCCATGGGACATGAGATGGGGTGCACCCTGAAGGTGCACAAAGAGGCACAAAACTTTGCACACACATGCACACACTCATACTGCTTTGTGTTCATGAGATATGGGGACATCTCATTGACTTTCATTTATTAATATGGCCTAGCCAGACCCTTACCCTAAGTATTACCAACATATACCTAGCTCTAACCCTAACCTAAACTAAATTGACACTTTAGGCACCTAAGAACAATTAAGAGAAGCCAATTAATCTAACAGACATGTTTTTGGACTTTGGGAAGAAGCCTGAGTAATATAAGAGAACCCAAGCATGCACAATCAATGAGGTGTCAAAAGTTTATTCACAGTCTATTTTTTTTATATCTTAAACATCTGACATCTTAACAAGTAAAATACAAACTGCTATACCTTTTAGAAGAACCTCACCCTAATATTTCTGAGATATCCCTTTAAACTGTGCAGTACTTTCTCATCGAACACATGTTTCCTGTAAATTCAAATCTTAACTGTTCCCTGCCAAAAGGAACTCATTGAAGTGATTTGACAAAGCCTGCAGATTAATGTGGAGAAATAATGCTAAGAAAGAAGAAATAACTTAGATGAAAAAGGGGATTTATGAACACATTAATACCACCTTATTCACTCCTATGAAAGCAATGGGATCCCCTGCTGCACTCAAAAAAAATATTCATGCCCCTCTTTGAGATGACACATTTTCTTACTATTTGACTTACCTAAACTAATTTGTTAGATAATTATTAAGTAATATTTAAATGATGTAACACAATATTATGAACATTTTATGTATGATGCAAAGTAACCTAAATCCCCTGTCACATCTTGACAATGTAGACCAGCATATGCTTGATGTACAGATAATCTGGCAAAACACTGACAGATTGGATAATATATGGGTACTTTTTGTATAAGTTATGAGCACGATGAAGCACACAGAAGCACGCTGAAACACGCTGGTACACGTTG